CGACCACCCCCTGCTCCTAGACTGCCTGGCCTGATTGCTAATGAGGATTTTCACTCTGACAGCTGCAAGCGCTCTAAGACCCTGCAGCAAGTCAAGAACAAGGACGTCAGGGAGCACTGGGGAGGAGCCTGAGAACAAGGACTCAGGGGGAGTGCTGGGGGAAGAGTCTAAATAGAAGGGCTATGGCAGGTCTCCAAGGTCATCGGGGTCACCAGCACCCACTGGGGAGGCCCCCAGTGTCCGTCGTCCCACCCTCTGAGTCCCCATTCTATCCTCTGAGCACCTGTCTCACCCACTGGGTGTCTGTCCTGTCCTCTGAGCACCTGTCCTGTCCACTGAGTGCCTGTCCACCCAATGAGCACCTGTCCACCCACTGAGTGCCTGTCCTGTCCTCTGAGCACCTGTCCTGTCCACTGAGTGCCTGTCCACCCAATGAGCACCTGTCCACCCACTGAGTGCCCGTCCTGTCCTCTCAGCACCTGTCTTGTCCACTGAGCACCCGCTCCATCCTCTGAGCACCCATCTCATCCTCTCAGCAACTATCTCATCCTCTCAACACCTATCCTGTCCACTGAGCACCTGCCCCATCCTCTGAGCGCCTGTCCCACCCTCTGAGCACCTGTCCCATCCTCTGAATGCCCGTCCCACCGTCTCAGTGCCCAGTGAGCACCTGTCCCATCCTCAGAGCTCCCTCCCTGTCCATCTGAAGGAGACAGATCTGTACATGAGGTCTCAACACCCCACCTGGTGAGTCTTTTCACCCTCAGAGGAGAGGTTTGCAGGCCAGCCAGCGGTGGCAGAGCCAGCGAGACCTCAGGGCCCCTAGGGCCAGTTTAGGGCCACTTCCTTTCCAGGCCTCATTTGCAGGAGGGACATTCTATTCCTGGTTCCCTTAGCTCTGAGTACTCCAACCAGAGGCATCTCCTCTGTCCTCTGCCCTTGACCCTGCACTGGTGCTGCCCAGCCCCCTTCTCTCCTGACAGGTCAGAGGGGGGGAGGGTTACTCATCCCAGGCCCACACAGCTCTCTAGTCCCCCGTGACAGTCTGGTGTCCCCAGTGCCTGAAATATGAGGGGTCATTTTTTTTTGCTTTTTGGGTCACACCCAGAGGTGCACAGGGGTTACTCCTGGCTCTGTTCTCAGGAGTTACCCCTGGCGGTACTCAGGGGACCATATGGGATGCTGGGAATCGAACCTTGGTCAGCCACGTGCAAAGCAAACGCCCTACTTGCTGTGCTATCGCTCTAGTCCCAAATATGAGGGGTCTTAAGGGGCCCCATGCGCCTTGTCCTGGGCTCTGGTCACTTTTTCTGGGCTCTGGTCACTCTTGCTGGGGTTGTCCAGTTCCTGCACACAGCAGGGCCTTCCCAAGAAGGTGGCCACATTGGCTAGACCCCACCAAGGCCCCTTGTGCCCCTGAGCTCCAGATGTGCCCAGAAGTCATGGGTGCAAAAGCAGGTGTCCATGACTGGCCTCATGGGGGGCAGAAGCAGGCATCTGAGGCCTCTGGAGTTCGGGTTCAGGGGCAAACAAGGATCTGAGCAAGGAACGCTGAGCGTGGGGTGACAGCTGCCTGCAGCCCTTCTCTTTGGCTTGAAAAGCAAAACTTGTTCATTTTTGCCTGGAGTTTCCTCCCTGAGTGTGTCTGGCTCCAGCCCACTGGAAAAAGCACTTTCATCCCTGCACCCGGTCTGGCCTCCGGATCTGAAGTGCTGGCAGGACGCAGGGCAGATGCTCGCGTGCCGGCGACCGGAAGCCGCCTGTGTTTGCCCAAGAGAACTTCCCAATGTGTACCGGGCCTGGCGTGCAGAACACTCACCCCTCTGGCTAGGCTGACGGGGAGAAATGAGGCCCAAGAGGCTTCACTGAATCTCCAGGGACTCGGGCAAGGGTGTGACAATGCGGAGATCAGAACCTAGCCCCCTGGACCTGCTCACTCTGTGTCTCTGTGGGCCCACCTGCCATGAGGGTCACAGTCCTGTCTTCTCTGACTCAGGTGTCCCGCTCCCACCCTGGAACACAGCATGTCACAGACCCACATAGTCAAGTACTGGATTAAAGAACTGGAGACGTGGGAGTTGGAGAGATAGCATAGCGGGTAGGACCTTGCACGCAGCCGACCCGGGTTCGATTCCCAGCATCCCTTATGGTCCCCTGAGCACCGCCAGGACTAATTCCTGAGTGCAGAGCCAGGAGTAACCCCTGAGCATTGCCGGGTGTGACCCAAAAAGCAAAAATAAATAAATAAATGACTGGAGACGAGTTGAAGGGAGGTAATGAGACAAGGTTAATGAAGGGGCACGTGAAGGAGAGTCAGTGAACTCGGAGAGACCCAGCCCTCTGCTGGCTTTGCTGCTCTTCCTTAAAACAAACCTCCAGGGGCCAGATTGATAGTCGAGCAGGGAGGGTGCTCGCCTTGCATGTGGCGGCTTCAGGTTCGAGCCCCAGCATACCATCATGGCCATGATGCCATGAGCCCTGAGAGCTTGTCTTTGGGGTGTGGAGACGCTCAGGTAGCAGCACCCATGAGAGCCTGAGCTCCGCTCCCCACTGCTGACCCCACCCCACCCCACGCCCCTTGGGTGAGCCCCAGCACCACCAGGAGAAGAATAAAGGAAAGTCAGGTGACAGGGTGGCCTGGTGCCGGGAGGGAGATAGTGACCTGGACCGTCCTGGGTTATAGGGGTGGGCTGGGGGTGCGAGCATTCCAGGCGGACACAGCAGAACCAAAGCTCTAAGCAGAGCCCCCACGGGGCTGGAGCAGAGGGTGGGGGAGAGGCGGGAAGGTAGGGCAGAGGCAGTGGAGGTGGGGAGCCCTGCAGGTCTCACAGGCTGCCTCTGACTGGGATGACTAGAAAAAGCAGCAAGCACTAAGAGCAGGGGATCCAGACCCAGGCTCTCGCATCTGGCCCCCAGAGGTGCTGGGATTTTCGGACGGTCAAGCACTCCCTGTGCTCCGCACCCTCTCTCTGCTGCTGGCAGCAGGTGCAGGCAGAGAACTGTGCCTCACCTGTGCAGGTATGTGGGCGCGCCCAAGCTGCATTTCTCTGTGCAAGCATCGCTACATATGCATATAGACACATACTATTCTGTGTGCATGCATGTGTGTGCTTGTGTGCATGTTGTGTATGCATGTGTGTCTGTGTGTGCATGTTTTACATGCATGTGTGCATTTTTGTGTGTGTGTGTGTGTTTGCACGTGCATGTGTGCGCCTATGTGTGCATGTATGTACATGTGTGCTCATGTGTTCTGAAGACAGACCGGAAAGGGACACTATTCCCTCTGCAGCTTCACCTCCTGGGCCTTTTTCTCTGCACACCTCCCCACTCTGCTCCAGTGACCCTGGCCTCACTCCGCTGTGTCGTTTTGTCCCATATTCTCTGGCCCTGTTCATCTCTGCCATCACTCAGGGTCCAGGCTTTGCCCCTGAGACTCTAAGGGGCTAATGTGCCCAGCTGACACTCACTGGGCAGAGTGTTCCGGGAAGGACAGGGCAGCAACTCCCAGACCTCCACCCACGGCAGCTGCTCCCTGATCAGCCCAGCTCACCCACCCATTCTAGGCTTGCCCGAGTCAGAGTTCCTGTCGCAGCTGTGGCAGCAGGAGGCAATGCTCACCCCATGTCCCGTGTCCACCCGACCTGTGTCTGCCCACCCAGGTCTACCCAAGCAAGTGGAACCCCCCCCCGCCCGGCATCCGCCAGCCCCAGGTGCCCAACCACCATACCTCTGGATTCTGATCCTTGGACCTTAAAGATGCAGCTCTGGCTGTTGGACCCATTGCCAGGCAAGAGAAAAGGGACGTGTGCAGGGAAATTCTTGTTCTTGCAAAGTATGTGCCGTTCAAAGCAGCCACAGCCCTTGACCACTGCCGGGGGCCAGAGTCTGGGGAAGGCTGGCGACATTTGCAGGGACAAAGCCCCGACCCAGGGTCCTGTCAAATGGTCAGTTGGCCTCCCTGGCCCTCATGGTTGTAACTGGATTGTGGATCGAGTGACTGACTCTGTGAATCTCCCCAACCCCTCTCAGCCCTGATGGGCTCTCAGCCCTGGGGAGTCTGGGAAGGAGAGTCCTGGGCTGTCACCTCAGGGGACCCTGGGTATCCAATTGGTAGTGGCACTTGGGCAGGGGGATGACTTGGGCATGCTGAGGCATCGCATGGCCCTGAAACCGCCTCATGGAGGGGCTGTCATGCGGGCGCATCTGGGGTCCTGATGTCCTCCAGACCTCAATCTCCTCATTCCGGGGGGAGCTGACCCTTCCCCCAAATGTGGCTGAGGCTGGCGCCTTTCCCACTGGTCTGAGAGGAGAAATGATGAATGTGAGCTCAGAGACCCAGAGACGCAGACACCACCACATTGTAGGAGCTTCTCTTCATGACAAATGCCAAGGGGACAGGCATTTGGGCTTCTTCCCCAGGTGGGGAGAAGGGAGAAGTCATTGGCCTAGACCTAAGGGGAAGGGTAAGATATTTAGGGGTGGGTGAAGGGGTTAGGGGCCTTTCCCTATGTTCAGCCAGCTGCACCTGAGACCTGGTGCCCATGGGATTGAGCGTGGGGGATCCCTCATCGTCAGGCAGGCAGAAGGGAAGAGGAGACAGGCAGGGAAGGGTTGAGGGAGCCCCAGGAGCTGGAAGAAGCAGAGCGTGGGGGAAGAAGAGGAGGTTCAGGAGAAAGGAATGCTCTAGTCTAGAGACAGGATTCGGAGGCGGGGAGTCCTCTCTGTGCTGACTTCCACCCCACACCTCTTCGGAGGGTGGCACCCCAGGGCTGACACTCAGCCTCCCACCAGCAGGGTATTTCACCCACTTCTGGGATCCCCAGAGAGAAGATGTGGGGCTCCCCAGCCAAGCTCCCAAGGCAATGGTGCCTCTCATACACTCAGACTCAGATTGACAACCCCAGCCCCGCATGAAGCCCCCAAACTCATACTGGTGCTCCCAGGGTCACCGATGCCCCCAGTATCACACTGACGCCCCCACCCTTCTCTCTCTGCCACAGGGCTCACAGCCCCCTTCAACACAGACACCAGGCACCCACGGGTCATTGCTGGCTCTAGGAGCGCCTTCTTCGGCTACACCGTGCAGCAACATGACATCAGCGGCAAGAAGTGGTGAGTGTGCCCCACCCCCGCCTCTCCTGACCTGTCCCGGTGGCCCTGAGGCTGCCCAGTACCTACCCTTTGGGAGGGCTGGACAGTTCCAGCTCCCTCTCAGACACCGGGGAACAGGGTGCCCAGCCAGGTCCTCCCTCAAAGTCCTCAGCGATGGGTGGAATTGCTGAATTATTACATGGTCGTACACATTCAGGGTTAGTGGGATCCGCCAATCAACTATTTGGGGAAAATGGTTTAGGAAGTTCATCTCTCTGACATCCTGCATTCTCGTGAACACCTGGTACTGTCTGCCTTCAAGCCTTAGCCATGCTGATGTGTGTGGCATCCTTTTACACACGTGGAAGTGACTAGAGACTAATGAATTGAGCCAGAAACATGTTGGCTATTTCGGTGCCCTGTTTTGTTCATTTTCTGACTGAGTCTTTTGCCCGTTTTTTAGTTGTGTTGTGTATCTTTTTCTTAAATATTTATAGGAATTTACATAATATATTCCTTAAACAAATCATTGCAAGTAACTTGTATAAAGAAAGCACTGCAGGAGCCGGGGCGATAGCACAACAGGTCGGGTGCTTGCCTTGCACATGGCCGACCTGGGTTCGACCCCCGGTATCCCATATGGTCCCCCAAGCACTGCCAGGAGTAATTCCTGAGTGCAGAGCCAGGAGTAACTCCCCCTGAGCATTTCCTGGTGTGACCCAAAAAGAAAATAAAAAAAAAAAGCACTGTGAACCACCTTCGCCAGCAGTGGCCGACCTTTTCATTCTCTTAGTAATATCTGTTTTGGGAACAGAATGAATCAAGTCCATAGATTGATTGGCCTTTTGTGGGAAAGGCGACAGGAAGAGTCATACCAGCAGTGTTCAGGGCTGACTCCTGGTTCTGCACTACTGGAAAACATCTGGCGGTGCTCAGAAAACTAGGCATAGACCCAGGGTCAGCTGCGTGCAAGGCAGCAACTACCCCGTGCTCTCTCTCCGGCCCCTCATTCCTCTAAAGTGTGGAAGGGGAGCAGCGTGGGCTCTCCACATTCTTCTTGGGGGAAATTGTTTTGGCTCTGCTAAATCCTTTACATTTCCATTCGGATCATGGAAGGAAGCTCCTCAGCGATGCTCATGGGCCCAGGCCACTCCAAACAGGGCCCACAGGGTTCAAAGCTCAGACCCAGCTCAGAGAGACTGTGCAGGCTCCGTGGCACTCGAAGGCCACCAGAGCTGCACAAAGCAATGCTCAGGGAACCGCACAATGCCAGAGACGACGCCTGGGTTCCTGAGCCCTCTCTCAGGCTTCTGCATGGATTTTAGTAGCTATTTGTTAGTGTCCCCCAAAGTTGCTAAGATTTTCACTGGATTGTGTTGGATTTATAGATCAATCTGGGAAGAAGTAAAGTATTAGTAAGCGGCTTCTAACGATTACTAAGATGAATTCACACATCTCTCTATTCATTTAGTGCTTTAAAATTTTTTTCTCTCAATTGTGCTTTGTGATTTTTAGTGCAAAGTTCCTATTATAGGGGCCACCTAAGCCTTATAGGTAAAATTCTTCTTGGAAAACTTGTACAGAAGTTAATGTTCTTGTCCCACTTGCAGCTGACCCCAGCTCAATCCCCAACACCACATGTAATCCTTAAGCACTACCAGGAGTGATCTCTGAGCACAGAACTAGGAGTCAGCGCTGAGCACTACTGAGTGTGACCCAAAACCAAGGGAAAAAATTCTTATTAAACATATATTATTATACTAGGGCTGGAGCGATAGCACAATGGTAGGGCGTTTGCCTTGCGCGCAGTCAGCCCGGTCGAGCCGGGTTCGATTCCTCCGCCCCTCTTGGAGAGCCTGGCAAGCTACCGAGAGTATTCAATATGCCAAACACAGTAACAAGAAGTCTCACAATGGAGACGTTACTGGGCCCACTCGAGCAAATCGATGAACAATGCAAGGACAGTATTATACTAATTCTTAGCATTTGGTATTTTATACCAATTATTATGTAATATTCTTATTTCATGTTCTAATATTTTAGTCTAAAAACGCACTTACTCTTTGCATATTTACATAATATTCAGCAACTCGTTGCCAGAGCTTCTGTGTTTAGGGCTTCATGTCTGAGTCTTATACAGCCTCCTATCTGTGGTTTCTGGGTGTCCTCCATCCCCTCATCCCCCAAGGCAACAGGTCAGCCAAGCTTCTCTGTTCTGTTTCCATCATATCTTGTGATTTATGGCCTTTTTATCTCTGCCAAGACCCTAGAATGTGCCCCTCAGAGGACCGGCCTCATTACCTGTTTACTTTACTGCTGATGTTCCTCCACTCACAGGACAATGGCTTTTAGGTCAATAATACATCAAGATAAGCATTTCTTCTAAGCATTTCTTAGATACAAAAAGTGTATCTGAGCAAAGCAGCAGCTTAACACTTGCATATCCTGATTCTATTCTTATATACAGGTATTTTACTTTGTAATTCCAAAATTTTTATTTTACTTCTTTTCTGACAAGCTACCTGTGACATATTCGATATGCTAAAAACAGTAACAAGCCTCACAATTTCTTGTGAGACGTTACTGGTACCCACTTGAGCAAATCGATGAACAATGGAAGGACAGTGCTACAGTGGAGTGCGATCTTTTTCGCAAAGATTTCGATTCTGTTATTATGATTATGATTCTGTTAAAATAATCTTCCTCCCATTCATCCATCTTCTACTCTATTTTGTTTGAAGTATACTAACCCAGAAGTCTTGTGAACGAACTCCAGTGTTTGTTTTCTTACTGATGCTCCTTCCAGACTCTGTTTTACTGGTGCTTATTAGTCCATTTTGCCCAATTCTTTGCTTGAGGAGCAGTTTTTTGTTGAATTCGTACTTGTCATCATGAGGGGCATAGCTCAGTAGCAGAGTATTCGACAGCATATCTCTCATCATGAGTAGTGTGCTTTATAGGCCACATACCATAGTAACCTTTTTTAAAGAATGGGAGCAATAGCACAGCGGTAGGGCGTTCGCCTTACAAGCGGCCAACATGGCCGACCCGAGTTCGATTCCTCCGCCCCTCTCGGAGAGCCTGGCAAGCTCCCCGTGATGTATTTGATATGCCAGACACAGTAACAACAAAGTCTCCAATGGAGACGTTACTGGGCCCGCTCGAGCAAATCAACGATCAATGGGAGGGCCTTTACTTTACTTTACTTTACTTTATGCTTTGTTATATTAACACTTAAAATATGGTGAAAAGCTCCCAGATCTCTTTTTGGGGAAGGTACACCCAGCAGTGTTCAGGGCTTACTCCTGGCTCTGGTCAGGGATCACTCCTGGTGGGGCTCAAGGGACCATAAGGGATGCCTGGATCAAACCCAGGTCAGCAACATACAAGACAAGTGCCCTATCCACTGTGCTTTCGCTCCAGCCCCAGTCACCCAGATCTTACTCTGGCTCAGTTTGACCACGGGGAGGGAGGGTATCACCTAGCTTTACCCTTTATAGGATGCAGTTTTCACTCGTAAAGTGGGGGTTTTCAGGACCCCTGCAGAAGGCCTGTCACTGTCACTGTCACTGTCCCTGTCCTCCCGTTGTTCATCGATTTTCTCGAACGGGCCCAGTAACTTCTCCGCAGTGAGACTTGGTTGTTACTGTGTTTGGCATATTGAATACGTCATGGGTAGCTTGCCAGGCTTTGCCATGCGGGAGAGATACTCTCGGTAGCTTGCCGGGCTCTCTGAGAGGGGTGGAGGAATCGAACTCGGGTCGGGCGTGTTGGTTGTGTTCAAAGCAACCACTCTACCGGCTGTGCTGTCACTCCATCTGAAGGCCTGTGTCTTCAATAAAGTTTCCATCCCATCTCGGCAGGAACTCCAACATCTCCAAAGTCACTGTTTCCAAGGATGTGTTTTCATAGATTCTTCCAAAGTCTTAGGTGTTGTGCCCAGTTTAGGAGTCAGTCAAGGATGGAAGCTCACTTGTAGCTGAGTTCTTGGAGGTTCTCTCTTTTCTGGCCAGCCCCTGCCAGTCCTAACCACCTGGTAACTGCAGCCCCTAGTCACCTATAGCACCAGGAATGTGTCACACTGAGAAGGTGGCCCTGTTTGCTTCATAGGACAGCGCCCTCAGAGGGCTGGGGGACATAGGGGGTGAGCCCTGGTGCTTGCTACTGACTGCCTGTAAAACAGTCTAGATTTCCTGGTTGTTTAGGGCTAGGATTTGAAGCCTCCCGTCAAATTCTCTAATGGACTTAGATATCATTTCCCTGGGAAGCTTATGGGATCCTTCCCTCTCATCACTAGATGGGAATTCTTCATCTCCCTTTTATAGCTTCTGCCAATCCCTGGCATTTTGGAAATGTGCAAAAGAACTTGCTTAAGAAGACGGGAGGTTGAGTTTATCCTCTCCAGGGAAGGCTAGCTGTGAGTGTGCGGAATCCATCCTCTGTCTGAGGGCCACAGAGCCCAGTGGCCTGCTAAGGCCATTGCTTCTGACCAATATGCGCTTATGAAGTATCTGTTCATAAATATTGCCAGGCTCTGCAAAATACTGGCCTGAGAAAGGCCTGGTTCTACTCTCAAGTAACTCACAGACCAGCTGAAGAGACAACTAAACGTCCTTGAAATCATTAAAAAGCAATGCGAGGCCGAATGTGACCTGGCATTGATTATGTTCATCTTTGTTCTTTTTGTTTGTTCGGTTTCGGGGTTTGGAGGGGTCCCTCTAGTCGTGCCCAGACCACACCCAGGGCAGGGAACCCCTCTGCTTGCTTAGCCGGGTCCCCACTGCTGGTCCCACTTCCTATTTGCTCTGGCCCTCCAGGCCTGTGGTGGTCATTCAGACAAGGAGTGAATGAGTTGCATTCAGATATGGAGCCCTGGGCGGGGTGTGATCATCTGGGGGACATTGACTGGCTGACCCCCTGCTGTGTCCCCACTCAGTGCCACACCAAAGAAGAACAAAGCAAGGGTTTGAAGTCCAAAGAAGGAGGCTGGAGCGATAGCACAGCGGGTAGGGCATTTGCCT